AGTAACAGGTGCCTTACTAGTAGTAACAAGAAGCTAGTAGTAACAAGAAGCTAGTTTTTTTGCTCCGGACTTCAGCTCTGTCGGTTTTCCAGACGCAATGGACAGACAAGGTTGACCCACTGGAGGCTGCGAACGGCTAGTCTGGGGTCTGTACCGCATGATCCGCAAGCTTCTCCCATATGGGCTTCAACCTGCAATCTCTCAAACTCGGTGGGTAGGCCGAGAAGAGGTAGTAGCTAGGTAGTTAATAGCTTACTTAACCTTCTACTGTATGGATGCAGGATAGCTCACGCTATTCATGTGGTTCCTAGATGTTTAGTTTAGGGAAACTTAACTATGTGCCTGGTACGTGACTGGCCCTTGCTCTCAGGCTTCTAGCCACAAAACAGCCACCTCCAAGTCCTTCCACCAATACCCGGGTTCACACCAACAGAAACAGCTCAGGTGTCCTTGCCTCTGACAATGTGAGCACCAAGGTGCATAGAACTTCACCATCCACGTTCCTCGTTTCACATTCTCATCGAAGTTGAACTTCGTGAGTTTCACGATGTTGTCCTGACCATGACAGCGATCCAGGTGAGAAAGCCAGTGGGATGTCGCCACCGAGTACTTGAAGAAAGAACGAACCTGTGGATGGTCAAAGGTCAGGGCACACCAAGCAAATGTTCCCGTGGAATCCGGCACCCCATGAGTGCCCGCAAACAATCAACAGTGGGTCACGAACAGATCTTCCCGTCTTGGGTCTTGGACTCCGTCGCATTCTGTAAATCAACTCCTTGCCCTACAGCCCTACGGGGAGGGAAGGTAATGCCAAATTGGCCTGCCACAAGTCACACAGAAAAAAGCTCATGTTGCTTGCCCAACTTCAGACCTCAGGAAAGTCACCCACCATTGAGACCAAGACCTCAAGAGACTCAAGACCCCAATGCTGTTCTATCTTGAGTCGTCCAGGGAAGATCTTCTTGGAACAGTAGGTCCTCGCCCAGTAGGTCCAGTCCTCCGAGATCGATGTTCGATCACGGAGAAGTTTCCACCGCCAGTCCTTGTCCGCTTGCACCGCTTGTAAACAAACTGCCTCAATGGAGAGACGATAGGGACGGCTTCTATGGCATCTCATTGACTCAAGCTGAACTGAACGACATACTGTTGATCAACGAAGAAGAGTTCATGCAGCACCTGTTAGAAACAAGAACACAAGAAATCAATGTGTTCTTCATCAGTTTCAAACCCTTTATGGAGGGGCCATTCATTCTTTAGGCTCTTTGGGACAATGGTGGGAAAGGAGAAAGCACAATAGTCATAGTCATGGTCTTCCTCTAAGCTCAAGTTGTCATTGTTTCTGATATCCCCCCCAAGTGACTGCCAGGGTGCAACTACCAGGAGCTCCAGCACACGCATGGCGCCTGGACACGAAACATGGAGACTTCGCATACACTGAGGGTGACCGCGACGAAAAACGGTGTCTGCCATTCATCGGACAACTGCAACGCCTCCCGAAACCTATCATGTAACAACCTGTCCGAGAACAGCACGCTTCAGTCATGCGGTGTGCTCCACGAACCCTTCAGTTTGGGGTTGATATGCATAGCCTGCCTAGCTCATTCACCAGCTTTGATCCAATGCCCAAGAAACCCAATGGCGCAAGGTCTTGTGAAACCCGGCGAACTCACGCTGCGTGAGACCCAACGGGCTCCTGTGTTCCGACCCCCGGACGTGGGTACCGTCGCGGCGGTCTGGACCCGTGGCTTTTCGGCCAGTGCGGCGGTCGAGCGATGTCTGGAGCTCTTTGGGTGGTCAGAGAACGCGAGAGGTTTGGACTGCTGCGGGGGTAGCACGAAATGAACTCACCAAAAAGGGAGTTATGCGTGTCTTTTCTCAGATAGGTTAAAGGAAGGTGATATTGATTCAGTGATAGTGGGTGTTGCTGCTTTTCAACCCTACACAAGAAATGTAAGGATGACCTTGGACCGCCGCTGGTGGGTGAGAATCCAACGAAGAACCTGAAACATGTCAAAACACTGTACTGAGTGGAAACATGTCATGCTTGGCTCCTCACAGTTCCTATAGACATCAACCGCGGAGCATGAAAGGGTGAGTTTAGAGGTTTAAAGTCCTGCAAAGAAAACAAGCTGAGTAGCACTGTGTGTCCATTTGCAAGTGCCTTTCTGAGGCTATTCAAACTGTTCAAAAGCCTGGAACAATAAGGCCAAAGATCGTGAGCAAATAGAATACACGAAATATGCAGTGTGAAGACCAGAGCCAAAAAAGATCCCAACACGAACCTGATTACAACTGAGCTTAAGATACATCTGATATATCAGCAACACCAGCACATATGCGCTTTCTGGCGCACCTTTAAGCTTTTTCCGCGCCTTCACGCCGAAATCCGCTGTACACTCAACATTTGCAGATCATTTTCTGCGTATTGTGGGCGTCCTAGTCTAGGGAAGCCTCCAGAGATTCATCCAATTCCAACTGCAACAGGAGGATTCCCTATATTTCGGATCTGCCCATGTCACATGCGCTTCCAAAGGTGCTCAAAAGCACGTCGGTGACACGCCTGGCGCGGCCCGGAGCGACATCATGCGCAGTGGTCGAAGCTCGGACGTCGGGTCAAAGTTCTGAGGCCCCTGACGTGGGTTCCCCGTTGGCTCCAGGCCATCCTGTATGGAGACAAAGCCGTGGCTTGCAATTGACTTCAATCACGCAAAGCATTTCGAAGAGCATCTTGGCACCTGTAATTATCTGCATATATAAGTGAACATATTTGGGGGATTGGTCTGTCAAGCGGATATGATGACTATTTCCCCAAACAGTTTACTTCCCGAACTCCCGAATTCATAGCAATACTCAATCAAGCTTTTGTTGCTGGTAAATTACTTGATGTCTTGTCTTCGAATGAAGGTTTGGTCTGTGTTTCAAGAGATGGAATGCGAAGCCCTTAACCTCTCTCGATCGACTCAGTGGGACATAGCGAAGGTTAAAGCTCACTTAGACTTTGAAGAGCTTAAGGGTACGGCTCGGTATTGTGCCTACCATAACTTCAAGGCAAATGAAGCTGCCAAGGCAGCCCTTCAGTTGTTTTCACCAGAGTTTCTTTTACTCCACAATACTGTCAGTGAACAGTACTTTGCACTCAAGTAAACTGCCACTAAACTTGCACAGTGTCACACCAAGTGTGCTATATTTTTCCCAAAATAAGAAGGGCTCTCCTTCGAAGGAAATTGAAACGTTGTGTTCTGACGACTTGCGTGTGTTGACATTCTTGCTGGTGGTTCGCTTGCCTAGTCGGGTGACTCACTTGATGATCCCACTAACCTGGTAAAGCTTTGGCAGTGGGTTCGTAGCTTGAAATGGAGTAGAGACGGTAACAATCCTCAGCTGTGTGAGATTTCGTGGTTGGAATTTGTGTTCCACTTTCGTAAGTTTTCTGGTCTTGATATGGGCTTGACTGCTGGCGGTAAGAAAAAATCCAGAGCGGCACATTGCGCTGGGAATGTTGAAGGTAATGAGTTGGCTAAGCCTGCTTGTATTTTCACTCAGGTCCGTATATTGATTAACACTGTCAGGAGCTTCAAAAGAAACCTGGGATCGTCAGTGTTCCCGACTGAACGCGTGGCTTTCTCAAGATCTTCGAGCTTCTGGCACTGGACATGCTGCGGTTTCCTCCTTCCAGGTTTGTGCAACTCCCTGCTAAGGTGCCACTTCGCCGTGATTTCAGATAAAATTTGCCGCATGTTGACACCGGGGTTTTCGAAGAAACCTCATGGTGCTTCACAGGTTGTAAGTGCCAGATGCCTCGTTCGTGGTTCCTTCGCTGGATGGTGTCTCACCGTCACCTTGGTCAGGCACCACGCCCAGCCTGTCGTCGGGCTGCTCGAGGAGAAACAGTTTACCAGTTTTAGTGCTGGGTTTGTTTCTTACGAAAAACATTGGTCACAGTCTCCGGCCGCGCATTTGAAATTTGTGTCCGGGTGCTGTCCTCCTGTTGTCCTCTTCTTGTCCTCCACTTGTCCTGCTGGCCGCGTTTGCAAACCTTGTGTCCTCCTTCCTCCTGCAGTCCTGCATTCTTGGTGTTGTCCTCCCGTTGTCCTCTGGCACTCGCGAATCCTGTGTCCTCCGGTCGTGCTGGCGATATGTGTGTACTGTATTTGTTTTGTCCTCTTGGTGGTCCTCTGGCCGTGTTGTGTCTTCCCTTTGTTCCCCAAACAGTGTAGTGGTCTCGTCCGGTCCTTGTCCGGGCCTTGTCCAGGCCCAGGTCTTGTCTGGGTCTGTGCATCTGGCTTGGCCACGCTGTAGGCCCTGTTGGCCGTGCTGTTTTGTCCAGGCCTGGCCTTGTCCAATGCTTGTCCAGGTCTGTGTGTCCTCGGGCGCGCGCCGTGGCATTGTGTTCGTGCTTGCACATGTGACCTCGAGAGTCAGGAACTTGCTTTTTGTCGAACATTTTTTGCTTGCTGTACATGCCGTTCCAAATGCAAGTCTTACCACCAACTTTGGAGTTCAAGGAGCTGACACAAAATATAAACAATGCTGAACCTGTTTGGGTTGTTGGCTTCATTCTTTAAAGAGAAGCTGGCCACAGTCGCTGGCCGCGCCGGTGAACGCTGTGTCTGGGTGTTGTCCTCCTGTTGTCCTCTTCTTGTCTGTCTGTTGTCTTCTTCTTGTCCTTCTTCCAGCTTGGCGCGGCTGCTAGCCCATCTCCAGCCCTTCTCCGCTTGTTTTCTTTTTGTCCTCTCCTTCTCTTCTTGTCCTTCTCTTGTCCTCCTTGTCCGGTCACAGCTTCCTTTGCTGCTTACGTTGCTTTCCCAGGCAGGGGCTAGGGCTGCGGCTGCCCACCACAACAACAACAACAACAATTCTTGCCGACAAAGCTGTTTGGGGTTTATGCTGTTATAATGTTGCATCACCTCTTTACTCGATCTGCTTCTCAGGACAGTTAAGAACCATAACCATGTTGGCCTGGCAAGTCAAAGGTTCAACTTCCCTCTTGTGACCCACCTTCTTCGTTCACTCGAAACCTTGATCATCCACCAGCACCTCAAATGAAGCTGCCCAAAGGATCTGCACTGCAAACATCGAGGAATTCCCCTCTGAGGGAAGTACAGACTGAATGACTCACACACAAACCCAACAGTGTTGGCTGAAGGAGGGCATCCATGCGAATTGGGATATGCTGTGAGGCGAAACGCAGCACGAAGCCCTCCACCCACCGTGTGCACTGCACAGCATCGCAACATTTTGACCCACCTCTGTGGCCGTTGCATTGGTGAAAAAAAACACATAAACCATGATCATTGGTCCAACTTATATACATATATATACTCAACTGCTAAATTGATCCACAAACCACTGGGGCCTGTACCGCTGGTCTCACCATTTGTCGCCCGATATGGCCAATCCAGGATTCCTGGCGAAGGATGCGAAGCACGTCTCTCTCCAGCTGTCGGTTCATTGAAGAAAATCAGGCTCACCAAGTTCACTATGTGGTGAAAGTTGAGCATCTTGTATTGGAACTAAAGTCAGTATCATTCCACAGTGGAAGAGAACGTGCTCATACACATGTACAAAGGGAAGTGTAGGTTGCTCGCAGGACAATTAAGCCACCTGCAAAAATTAGATGTGTCAAGACAACTCAACTGTGTGTATACTCACATCTCAATATCATATGTATATAGCATTATATATATATATGTGGTTCCGTGATGGTTTCGGCCGCGCGCGCTTTGACTAATTTTCTCAGACAGTCAGACAGTAGTTCCTAACTACAAGAAGTGCGCGCGCTTCAGTTGGGCAAGTTCCTGCTTGAGAAGTTCATTTTCATGCCGGAGAGTTTTTGAGGCCAGCCATGCAGCGGAGATGTAGCATCACGAATCTGAAGAAGTACCCACAGGTATTGCTCATTCTTTGAGTTGGCCAAGGGCGCATAGTCATTGATATAGTTGATGCCACTGCGAAGTTCCTCTTCTGTTGGATTCCATGCTTTCTCTGAATCGCCTGGAAGGCGCTGCTCTTTGGGAATTTGTTTTTGTCGCAAGACCTGAGTCATCCAGTGGTGGCCACTGATCTGTGAGAGCATATAGAGAAATGCCTTCTTCACTGCATCAGAGTTTTTGGCCAAGGAGTAGTCAATCACCAAGACTTGATCCTCACATAGTGTTCTCGCCAGGCCCATAGGAATGCTCACCTTGGAATGGAAAAACTTCAAGGCTGTGCAGGAACCATCAGGATGTTGGTGGAGAACGAGCTGCAAGTGACAGGAAGTTCCAAGTGCATCGCGGGGACGCACAGAGTTTGGCAAGCGTGAGATACACAAGGGATCTTCTGACATGACAGCGCGAATCACCTCCTGATCTTCTGTGGAAATGTTGGGCACTATGTGAAAGAACTCTTTGAAGCTTTTCTTGCTTTGGCGTGGAGGCTTGATTAAGGGCAAAGCTTCCACGGTGAAGTTGCCATTTGAAACCTCAGCATATTGTAGTGTGTCCAGGTAGTGGACGTAGTGGGACGTAGCCTCTGCCAGACACACATCCATGATGAGACACAGGAGACACGGGAAGCAGACGATTGAGACCTTGATACAAAATAGCTAGTTTGAGATATGAGCAGACGTGATGTTCATCCACATGACTGCATAGACAAGTGTTTGCAAACCAAAGTCTGTGTTTGCAAACTCATGCTTTAACAAGAAGGTTGTATGTTGGGGG